TATCTTCCTGTACTCAGCTCTGGTGTAGCTGCACCTTTAGTACACTGTTGAGTGTTGCGCCCCTCACTGCAGAGAAGACATTGAAGCCCTGGAGTACGTCTAGAGAAGGGCAATGAAGCTGTGAAGAGTCTGGAGCACAAGTCTTATGAAGAGTGGCTGAGGGAACTGGGATGGTTCAGTCTGGAGAAGAGGAGGCTCAGGGGAGACCTTATTGCTCCCTACAACTGCCAGAAAGGAGGTTGTGGTGAGGTGGGGGCAGGCCCCCTCTTCTCCTAGATAACAGTGACAGGACAAGAGGGAATGGCCTTAAGTTGTGCCAGAGGAGATTCAAGTTGGATATTAGGAGAAATATTTTCCTAAAACAGGGCTAGAAGAGCCACGGAAGGATTTATCAAATGCTGCTTGCTAGCTGGTAGGCAAGCATGACAAATTTGCCTTCACCATTGTTGAGCCATCCATCTGTAGTGGAAAGTTTCATTTTGAATCCAGGCAGACTGGTGACAGCAAGGCCTTGCTTAGAACTTGGCAATTGCATAACAAAAAACAATAATGTATTAGAATTTGCAGGGACATTTTCCTCTACTTCCACCATATATTCTTTGAAAACAGAAGAATCATGTCTTTGGTGAAATATTGACTGACATCACATTCACCAATAAACTTCAGAAGTAAAATTTATTAAGTCAGAAAAAAACCTGGCCTCCTCGACTGTGAGCATTTGGTGAAGGAACAGAGTATGAAACGCCAGAGAGCTCATGGCTGGGTTCACTGCTTGCTCACAGTGATGCCAGAAAGATTTTTGCAGTTTTCTGTGAAAAAAGGATTAACACTTAATACTTGTCTTTGCCTTTTAAGATTACTTCCTGGGAGGGGGTCTAGCTTTTTTTTTTTTTTTTTTTTTTTTTAATCTACAATTCTTTCCCTCTTAAAGTCTAAATTGCTTGAAGTTTATTATATCTTATATAATATATAATGTGTATACATATAATTAAATATGTATAATATTTAAGCTCTCACCTTTGCTGTCTATGTCCCATTCTTCACTCAAGTATGCAGACATCAATACCGAGGTGCCTGAAGTAAACTGAAAGTGCCTCATCCTTCTGTGCTCTGAGTCCTCCCTGGTGAGCTGGATTAAATGAAAAGGTTCACCGTCCAACTCAGGTTTCATGGCTGTATCTGGCCTCAGCTCAGAAGTTGCTGCTCTGTCCTGGTGTCCGCTAGCTCAGGAGATCCAGCTCCAAAAATAGCAGGCTGTAGCTGGGCAGGTCCAGGAGCGACTGACTTCTGAGAGAAGAAGTTAATATTTTCCTATTTCAAGGATATAATATGGAGGGCGGATAAAGCATTGTCTGACCATGTGCCTTCTTCCTAAGTTGCTGTCACAGGGAAAACTGTGGAAGAACTGTAATGCAGAGCAAATTCCAGCACCTCCTCCTGGCTACAAAGCCCAGAAGAGAGGTTAGGAAGTGGTATGTACAGATTGCTAAAGAGGGTCAGTTTTGCACAATTGCAGCTTGAAATCTTTACATTTTCATGGACAGCAGATATGGAAGGGCCATTAGTTTCACATCTTGGTTTAACAGATCTGTATGCATGCACAAGTATTTCGATACTCAGAATAATTAAAAAAAAAGATTGCTTTGAAAAAAATCCAGACGTCAAAGAACAAAGCTTTGTTAATTTCCAGCTTTTTAATAGTTCTAAAGGTTAAAGGAATAATTAAGAAAAAGTTTTGGCATAAAGGGAGTTGAAGAAAACACTGCCTGAAACTGCTAGACGTGTATCCCTTAAATGACACTGATGCTAATTTAACTTCTAACACTGCCACATGCCTTTAGAAATTAGAAACTAAAAAGGGTAGTCCTGGTATGAAATCATCACCATGACTGCCATCATTTCATGGAGTCCCAAGCGATAACATTCGTAGGGTTTGGCTGGTTTTTTGTTTTGTCTTTATTTATTTATTTATTTATTTATTTATTTTTGTCTAATGCTGTTATTATAGAGGAGAAAAAAAACAAACAAACAAACAAACAAAACCCAAAAAAGCTAGCAAACTACGTTTTCCTGCAGTCTCCATCACTGATACTTACAAATTCACGAGTAATTTGAAATGCTCTGAAACACTCCTCGTTTCATGGAGTGAAGCAAAGAGTTAGATCACATGCTCGGGCCCCACCAGCAGCTGCACCTTTAAGGTGGGATACAGCACCCCGAGTGCCGGGTCCTCAGCGCCTGCCCACCCGCGGCAGGAGCAGCGCACGCCGGCTAGCCCGATGACCCTCCTCTTAGGTCAGGCCAGCCGGCGATACCGGCGGATGACGATAATCCCGTCTGTCGGGGCTCAGCTGTGCGCGGTATGCGGAAGCAGGATGCCACAACAGGCACTTGGGAGCTGTAATACTGCACTCAACCACCGCTGGCAGCGCGCTCAGAGCAGGTGGCCGTTTTCAGCACTTGGGGAAACCGGGCTGTCAAGGGAACAGCAGGAGGCGCTTTCCTGGCCCCATTTCACCAAACCGCGTGGCCAAAACCCACCTGGGAAGTAACAGCTTCCAAACATTGAAAGAATCCCCTCACTTCCTCCCACCCCTACCTGGCTATGCGTTGTCTCCCCCCTGCCCACCAGACAGTATTGACAGCATACATATATGGGACTTACACCTGCAATTTCCTACAAACGGGGTTTGAGTAAATGATTTAGGTCACACGGAAAAGAATATGGCTTACACTGATGACATCTGATGTCTTTTTTTAAAAAAAGTTTATTTTCCACAAGTAAGAGCAATAGGAAAAAAATTAAACTGTTTTCCACATATTGTTTTCTTAAAACAGAGTCTACAAGAACATATTCAGCACCAAAACTAAAAAAAAAAAAAAAAGAAAAAAAAAGAAAAATACAAACAGCCATAGAATATAATCTATAAAGCAAACATTTAATATTGCACTTTGTTTCTCTAACGTTTGGATTTTACTTACTTTTTCCTAATTCAGATCAGAATCCTATATAAAATACTGGGCTATAACTGTGAACCTCATGTTTTCTAATGCTGAGAACTGACCAATACTTGTGGAAGAGTAATGCCTCTGAAAAAGTAAGAATTTAAACAGAATTTTTTTACTTTATAAAGTTACAGAATTTTTCACTCCAATCACAAAGGCTGTGAAGCCGTGTCAATTACTATATTGGTCAATCCTGCTTCATATGCAATTCTCCATTGTATTGTGGTAAAAACTTTAATGCTATGTGTATCAGAAATTGTTCCCTAGTCTGTTACAACAACAAAAAGGAAAAAAAAAGTAAAACCACCAAATGCCCTTTTATGCCAACGATCCCCTTAGCTTTTTTTGTCTGTTTGGAGAGGGTAGAGAGAAGGGACATTCACAAAATTGGCCTAGTAACGTAAGACATCACCCAATTTCCTTCTTGTCCAGTATTCTAGCTCAAAATCCAAACTTTTAACTGAATCACTTAAAACGCGACTCATATGTTATCACCCTGTCATCATTTTTGAAACATGAATTTTCTTTCATGTTCTCGTAAAGGCCACTTATGGAAAAGCCTATTGTGTCGTATGCATGAAGCCTTAAAAAAGAAGGCAGAGATTTTTGAGAACAAGCCCCATGCAGAACACCAGCCTCCTCTATCCCCCTTCCATCTGAGCTTTTATTGCACAAGGAAATAGAGACATGATGGATTAGTCCTCGATCTGTTTCAGTGGTCAATACCAAAAGCGTGTCCCTTTGTTACTGGTCTGTGCTACACGAGTTCCAAAAAGGGAAGCTGACTTTTATAAATCTCTAGGCATGGAAGTGCTGGTATTTGTGTTAGCAGATACAATGGCTCCAGTGCACTCTTTACTTCCGAGGGGTACAATCAGGGGCGAGTGCTCTGCATCATTTCTTGCACTCTGAATGAACACATGCTGAAACTGGCTCTTTTGTTTTAAAGCTCTTGAGAGAGTACCACAGAAAATGCAACTACCGAAGCAATTCTCAGCTAACTAATACCCATGTATGGCTGGTAACACTGATCTTCTTCCCCCACTTTAATTATAGTTCTATTCTTACTATTTTTACAGTATCATAAACCCTGAAGATAATACAAAGTGCACAAACTGAGCTCTTAGCATAGTCCAAGCTTTTCCTGCAGTTGAAATATACTTGCTACTAGAGACTCATAATATATAGTATTTTTGGTGATTAGGTAACTATGTATAAAAATAAATTTACTTTCTCTTCCCATCTCTACTAGTTGAAATATCTCTCTGCCTGTGAATCCTGGACAGCATTTGCCTATTTCCTTTTGGAATTCTTTTGAGGCTCAGCTGGTGTTTACTGGTGCTGCTTTCACTTGTGCCTTTATTAGTTCTATTTTTTAAAGCTTCACAACTCGAAACATCTCTTTTTCATAATGTAGAAAGAAAAAAGGGAATGAGGGTGGCTTTTATAACTTTTGTGTATGTCCCTATTGCAGCTCCCCCTCTCAAATAAAGAACTAAAACAAAACACACACAAAACAAGGAAGTAACTAAACAGTGCAACGTAACAAAACAAATAGCATTTCAACAGTTTGGCAAGTGATGAGTTCACCTGAGATTAAGTGATTTTTAGGCAGTCTGTAACAAAATGCTGCTTTGCGATAATAGTAGAAAGGCAACAAACTCTTAAAGAAATCAAGAAGGTATACAATCTTGACAAAGTCTATTAGTCTCCTTCTGTTATCTCTCCATCCCCCAACCCTAATATATCCCCATTATGTTGCTTATCTACTACAGTAGGCTGCAAAACATACAGCAAGAAGGATTGGCTTGAAGGCATTTGATGTTTGTAAATAAATCCACAACAGGATCCAAGCTGAAGAGGCGATACGTGACCAGCCTACTAGGACAATTCTGAGCATGTGCATATGCAGGTAAAGTCCAGGCTACATTAAATTAGAAAAGAAAGAGTCAGTGCATTTGTCAAAGTCCGTAGCTTTTTTCTTTTTTTTGTTGTCAAAGCTTTTTTTTTTTTGCTCCTTCTTGTGCAGACCACAAACAAGTGGGGGAAGGAAGGGGGGGGTAACAACAGTGCGGCATAAATGAGAAAAAGCTGTAGTGACACTGAACCGCACAAAATAAGCAATGAGCATGTGCAAATCTTCAAAATCATAAGAGAAAGCCATCCCTCTCTTGCAATGTGGTTTGAGTGTTTTGACACGCATGACCATAGGTTAGTAAGGCTGCTCCTAGTATGTGCCAGTATTTAAATGAGAACAAGGGGAGGGGAGAGGGTAAGCTCAGGTCTTCAAGCAAGTGGAGCAGTCCTACAATGTTACTGTAGGCTTCAAAGCATAATCACAGGTTGTTTTCATGTATTCACCATACAGGCAAGAGCAAAACCACTTCCTTCTAAAGTGTCTCCACTATAACGCCTTGACCTTCAACATGGCAGGTATGATTCAAAACCCAAGTCAAGTCAGCTTTTCATGGATTCCTTCAACGAGAAGGGCAAGATGGTCTGTCATCTGCAGGCTGATCTGGGTTTGGATCAATCTAAACAGAGGAAAAAAGTAATTGAGGTTATTTTAGAACCTGCTACAGAAAAAAAATGTAACATTGTCTTCAAACTTCTGATACATCGCATCCTCAATCCAGAGGGGATTACTGAAATTACTAGAAAACTTTGAATGCCAGATTTAGTAATCAGTACTAGTAATTAGAATAATAAATTCTGTACTCCAAATGGAATGGTGGAATGGCGGGGTGGGCAATGGGGAGGAGGTGAGGCAGGAAGGTCCCTTCCTAAATCTTTAAGTACCTGAGATGAGCAGGACTTCAGGACTAAGAATTAAGCTGCAGAACAGCTCTTACAGAAGCCTCACACGCAAAAGAAATGGCCTTCTGCCCACTCAGAACTGTTTCAAGAGGTTAAAAAAAAAAAAAAAAAAGGGGAAAAATGCATCATGCCATATACCGGTTTTTTTTTTTTTTTTTTGTTTTTTTGTTTTTTGTTTTGTTTTGTTTTTGTTTTTTTGTTTAACTAAATGCATTCAGGCAAGCATTAGCCAAAGGACACTGCTCTTTTGTCCTCTATCACTGCTTTTACCTCAAAAACAATAGTGAAACTTTGGAAGTTCTATCATAGGCTTTTACAGTACTAAAAATACAATCAGAACTTCTAAGGAACCATAGAAATAATAGTTTTGTCCCCTCTCCCTTCCCCCCCCCCCCCCCAATCAGGCTTCAGAATTTATGAATACACAGAATCAGATGTGGAAAAGATTTCTAAACTTTTTTTTGCCTGTTTAGGAGTTGGAAAATATTAGTACTTTGTGCCTCTATAGGGCCTATAGGAATGCTGCACTGAACAATGAAACATTAGAATGTAGCTGCAGGACAAGCAGGAAAGGCTTTGAACTGGAAGAGCATAGGCTTAGCCTGGGTATTAGGAAGAAATTCTTTACTGTGAGGATGGTGAGATACTGGCACGGACTGCCTGGAGAGACTGTGGGTGCTCCTCCACTAGAAGCATTCAAGATCAGGCTGGATGGGACTGTGAGCAACCTGGTCTAGTGGGATGTGTCCCTGCTTATAGAAGGGGTTGGAGCTACATGATCTTAAAGGTCACTTCCAACTGAAATTTTCTATCATTATATGAAAATACTGCATTCTATATGTAAGGCTGCTAAACTGGCTGTGTGTATACATGTACATAAAAACATGTTGCTGTCATTTCAAACAAGAGTTTGGGAATTTCTAGAAATCACGAGGCTTCATGAGAATTCTGTCAAGGCCTCCAATGCAAGGAAACAGGATAAAAGTTAAAACAACGGGGCAACATTCAAATTTAAGGTTACACAAGTCAGGCAAAAAGACACTGAATGTAATCTATGCTGAGAAAAAGGTGTGGAAGATTATTGATACAGGTCATTGGTAACTTCACAAGAAAAAAGAAAGTAGCTGCCTTATTCATTGCTGGTTCAACTTCTTAGTATTTTTTTTCCTGACACTTCACATATTCCAGAATACAGATTCAGTAAGAGAATATGTTGATTCATTCAGTTTGAGGTGCTTACTTCTGAATAGAGTGGTGGAGGCAGAAAGCGGAATTCTTGGATGTATGCAAATAATGGTCCTTGCATTGCTCTCTCAAAGTCATCACAAGCAGCTATAGGTGGCAGGCTGGACTGTCTCTGTTCCTCTGTGACCACTTCTGCATAGCTTGGAGGTGCTGCAGGGAAAAGGTACACGCAGTTCGAACAACAGTTCTTATGCATGTCAGGATACATAACATGAGAAATATTAAACTTATTATTCCAAGATGCATCAGCAGGTAAATAAGTGACTGCAGTGACAAAAAAAAATTGTTGAATATAGAAGGGAGACTAAGAAAAGGTCGCTTTATTTTATTCTAACATTATGCTCAAGTTTAGTAACATCTGCTTACTGTAGCTTAATTAGCTTCTCACCCTTTAAATCCTCATACTTAAAGCACAACCCAAACACTGAATATTTCTGTACAGACAGGCATGAAGGAACTGAATGCAACCTTTGACTCCAGAAATGCATGACTTAGTAGTAAAACAGTGCTTATCAATGTATGTGAGAACACAGAAAGGAGCTAATCCCTTGCTAAGGGAGACTCTCCTTTGACAAGAGTAGCATCTCCTCACTAAGACTTTTAGTTAAGACTGGTAAAAAATACCAGAAACTGGTTTTATTATGAGTTACAATGTCATTTAACTAAGGATGCTATTAGGATACTGGAAAGAGTATTACTTCTGCACAGGGACAGTGGAATCCTGTGTTATTGCCTTCTGCAACTTCTACATAGCTGGACGACAACTACTTTTTACAGAGAGAAAGCTAAGGAGGAAAAGAATTCTGATCCAACCCAAGCAGGTGGCAAGAAAGCATCTACAAGGGACTTCCTGGGGCTTTCATTATTAAAGGATGTAATCTGGATCTGTTAAGATGACAGTAATGAATAATGCGTAAAAATTAAAAGCAACAGAACTAGCAAATTGGTTAGGATTTGTGTTGTCAAATTACCTTCTGGTCTTTCAGGCAGTGTCAGACCAAGCCAATTCATGTTCATGCTACATTGGCTGCTCACACTTGATGTCCTGCTACCAAATGGGTGTAGAGGAATGGTACCAATGACCAGTGGTAAGTTAAGGAATAAATCCATGGCTCCTGGAATATCAACGTAGACCTAAACAAAAAGAGACATATGATTACAATGTACAAGTCAATAATTCATCTGGTAACTCTTTTTGCCATGAAATTCTCCATGAAGAACCTGTTTGTAACTGTCAGTTTCAGCGTGCACGTCTTTAAGGAGACAAATTCAATTTATGAGCAGGATTCTTAACATGAGCTTACACACAAAAGTGTCATCTACTCATGACATATTTGCTTAGATAACACAACACAGCTGTTTAAGAAACTACATGATTTAAGTCATATTTACTTACAAAACACCTGCTGGGATACTAATACTTGGAAATGCATTCTTTTTGTAGCTAGCATAAAAAGCTTTGCTATGGATTTTTTAGGACAATGGAAACTAAACATGCTCCAGCATACCATCAGTGAATACTCCACACGGATTATACTACAGTCAAGGATTGAAGGGGAAACAGGTGGAATTTTCAGCACTTTTCCATTCCAGGTTTCTGTCTTGCCAGATGATAAAGATTCTCCACGCAGGTTGGCAACAAGCTGTTTGACTTCCTTCATTTTTCCCTTGGCATAAAATGCCTGTGTTTGGTAAATGGCTGCCTTTGGCACCACCACACGGGAAGAGCAGTTTTCAATCTCAGCAAAGATCTGAATTGATTCACCTGAAACCAAACAGAATTTAATGTGATGCTGGAATTTACTAAGCAGCGTAAGCAAATTTCCATTTTCTTGATATTGTTACAATGCTCTAGACTCTGCTATACCTTTAGAAACATCCATTGGTAGTAAAAGGAATAGGATCAGCATGAGCTAATCCAGAAAAAATAATGAATAACTGAAATGGAAGCAAACATTCTTCAACAATCTGGAAACACAACCAGCACTCTTCAACAATACAGAGACAATGGCTGAAAGTAGACTGAGATGCTAAGAGCAGTTTTAGTATTTTGTTTATATGACAGTAGTTTTAAAAGGGAAGCAAAACCACTTCCTATAATTACTTCTGTTACATACCTGGGGTGTAGCCCTTCCTTTCAATTTTGGCACTTAAGGATATTGGGCCTGAGGTACAAAACCAACAACAGAGAGTCTTTTCTTTTGTGCCTGCTTGGGGTGACTGCAAAAAAAGAACAAGAAAGGCAGTTTAGTTAAGAGTTCAGTGAATGTGCTCATATATTTTAATCAATACCTCAAGATTATTTCTGTTATGTATTTACTGTTACTTATTTTGACAAGCAAAGTTTGTTTCATTTGTAATAAAAAACCATCATGCAATTTAAATGGTGCTGTACAGATACACAGCATGTCCTATTTCACTGCTCTTTTGACAATTTTTTTCTGCCACCCTCCAAACTACTGTCATTTTTAAAACAGTGTGTGACTGTAAAAGAGACTATGTATCTCGAAAGATACACACCTTATAGCCTACGTAAACCAGCATATTGTTGGCAAAGCTTCCTACTGGAAGGTCTTCCAACTTCCCATTACACAGCATTTCAGAAACATTAACTGAGCTAAAGTACCATAACCTTAACTCTTCTGATTTTCTCAGTTTTTGAACAATACTGTCTCATCTATAATAAACAGACTTCATTTACATGGTATCAGGATTTCGGATTTGATCCAAAGCCCATTAAAGTCAAACGGGAGTCCTTTGATTTTAATGGAGTTTGTGCAAGGCCGATGTTGTTCTGCAAATCTGGTTTTTCACTCATACACACAAGAAACCTATTTCAATGGACTTCATTTTTTTCCCCTCCCATCAATTAGTATGAGAAAAGGGGGGAAAAAAAAACAACAACAACGAGAAATTTTAAGCCAAATTGGAATCAGCTCCTTACTGGAAGCGGTTGCGATATTCAGATTTTAATAAAAATGACATTTCTGAAAAAGATCGTATAGAATTGTGATAATTTCTCCCCATTGGTAGAAAACCATCCATATGGAAATTACGCATGCCAGTACATTTTTCACTTTGCATTTTTAAGTTAGCAGTCTCTCACTAAAACGTTCTTTAAAGTTATACTGTTCCTTCCATAATGATTCAAAACTGAAGAGGAACAGTTAGCAAAAATTTTCCTTTTTAAAGACGAATTACAATTTCATAGTATTAATTTTAAATTGACAAAGGTATCTTACATATCTTAAAAATGAAGCAACTCCAGGTACAGAATAACATCAAAGCAGCAGTAATGAAAGAGTTGCCAAACTGATGTAATACTTAAAAGATCAGCTGTCATTAAAAAACAGTAAATAGGTATTAGATAAAATTCAATGTTGATATTCTTTCTTGTATTTTACTTATTTTTATGTCAGGAAAAAAGAATGAGTAGTTTTGTCAATTCTTACCAGTAATGAAGGAGTGTTGATATCTATATGTTCAAAGACTGTAAATTCCTTCTTTAATTTTACTGGTAGAAGCCAAGGCCTATGCAATTCGGCTTTCACCCAATAGCGCACACTGCCATGTCTGCCTTCGAATGAGGTAGCAAGTGGTCTGTGCAGGACACAAAGGTCAAAACTGAGTAAAATTTCTCACTCTTTATAATAATGATATAATCAGATCAGGGATTAGTATGTAGAATTCCACCTTTAATGCACTGTAGTACTTAATGAAGCGTAACTTATTTGCAAAGTTTCCATATCTGAGCAAAATTCAAAATTAAAGACGGGAGAAAAAATCATCTCCAATTCACCCTAATTTAGTTTTGTATCGATTTTAAGAATCAATTTAAGAATTATACTAGAAAATGCCAGCAGAGTTCACATTTCCTTTAAACTCAAGAGGCCGCTTTCACATCCACCATGCCCTTTTAAGGCTGCATTAAGACTACCAACTTAAAATTAGTAACAGTATCAACTGGTTTGAATACTGTATTTTGAAGTAATTGTTTATTGTTTGCTTGGCTACTATCTCAGAGTCTTCTTTTAGCTGTTACTGAATGCAGTAGTTCGTATAATTTTAAGTATGTATTTCAAATGATGGTTCTGATTTTAGAGAGTTTATCAGAAGTACCTTCCAGTTCTCCTCCACTCCAGTAAGAGCAGTTTAATAAAGTTTATACTGCATACAAAATATATGCACATCTTTGTTTACATATTATATGAACACACATGCAGAATTATCAGGACTACTGCTCTCTGAACTTTTAAAAGACTAATTAAATTCGTTTAAGAGATTTGGAGAAAAACTCTGGAAGAATCTCCAGACCTTTCACCTTTGCTTTTAACATCACAGAATTCCATTTATCTCTAAGTAGCAGTGCTCGCTCTTTTTTTTTTTTTTTTTTAAATACAAAAATTTTTGTATTTACATTTTGAATAAATAAATGTGAAAACATTCTGTATTTTCTACCGGGAGCACTATGAGCCATTCTAGTACTTCAACGATTCTTTGTCAGTTACAGGTATGGCATTTGTTTATATTTCTGAAACACTTCTAGTCTGTATTCAGTGATCAATCCTGTCTCATATTCTGCAGGGCAAAAAAACCCCAAAACCAATATCAAGAAAGCCCCTCAGTGTTTTCCTTCTTTCTACTGTTGCTCAATTTTTTTTTTTTTCTTAATTAACTTTGGACATGTCCCGTTGATAGGAAATCACAAGAAAGGGTAAATAGGTGCCCAACTCCAGGCCTTTAGGTTTTAATACCAGCCCATTGTTTTTTCAGTGTTATCAGAAGCTGGTTGCATAACTGTTTTTTCAGGTTAAACAACTTGTTCTAATCACTGGTTGTGGTACTTCAATTTCATACGAAATATTTCACACTGATATATTATCCTGCTTTTTCATCCCTTCCAAATCAAGGGAAGATAAGAACTATCATTTTTACTTTTTGTAGTAGAAATTTTCACAGAATGACAAGTTACCTCTGATGATCTCCACATACACAGCATACCAGCAACTATCTACCGTGAAGTTCTATGCTGTTCGCGTCTTATACTGACCCATGAAGTGGTTATGACCTGCAGGTTCTATTAAAGCCAGCACCTCTAATATAAACAGATGGTTTGCCAGCTTTATTATTAGGTACTTAGCTATTTCATGCAACAGTCTGCCAAATTCATCCAACTTTAATGACTTCACTGCTTGAATTTTACAAGCAAAGGCTCCTTCCTCTCCCTTTTTTCATCTGTTTTTTTGGACTGTCACTATCCCTCTGCATTTTGTATTATTGGAATTTGTATTTTAGCTCTCCCTCTTACTTTGCTTCTGCTTTCTGAGACAAGTGAGATGAATGATGGGAATATTTCTCAGTTCATCCACTCATTTATCTGCTTATTTCCATCCAGCCTTTTTGTACAGAGGCCAGCTTGAGAAGACACATTCCATTTAATCTGGAACAATCTCCACTTTTATTGTTAGCTAAAATACTCACTTCTGTTCCAGACTGAGTCTAGATAAGCAAGCTGAGGTCTTATCACCAGTTCTGCTGGTCTGCAAGGCTCTATCGGTTAAGCTAGAAGTTATTCCAGCCACTCTACAGGACTCAAGCCAGTTAAACTTCACTTCTCCTGGGAGCAGTTAAAATATCAAAAGGCATAGCCAGTCAGTACAGCTTAGTCAAGAGTGAGTGAGCCACCGGGCAGAAACATTGCTACCATTTTGTGAAGTTTGAAAGCAACCTCTTCAGCTGAAGGAGATGATGTCCTCTGCTGCATGCTGCAGCACAACTCCTGCCACCATTGAAAAGGTTTCCCCTCCACCCAAAGCAGGTGTGTCTGCAGGCATCACACTGCCCCACTAGCGTGGTACAAGTAGGCACTTACGTCTGTGGAAGCTCAAAGCTGAATGCATATTCGTGCCTTCCTGAAGGGATCGTGTGAAGGCCTTCCTCAGAGTTGTCATCATCTAGGAGGCAAAAACCCAAAATGCTATTTCACTGGCACTCATTTTACAGAGCAAAATGTTATCACATAGGCATAAACTGCAAAATAAAAGGGATTAGCAAACTCATTGTGGTGCCTTAAACAGTGTCCCAGGAGCTACTGAACACAAGGTGTGTATAACCTTCCAGGTTTACCTGGAAGCAGAAATTTGCTTTAATTCATAATCCTGCCTCTCAACACTGTCACAGCCATCACCCCTGCCGTACTAAAGCTTGCCAGAAAGATCAGTGATGGAAACTGATCTGATTTCCCACAATGATTCTCATATAAAACATAATATGAAATAGAGGCATCTTTAACAACAATAAGTTATCTTACACCCAGAGGCAAGTCTGGTGCATAGAATACATTTAATAATTTTTTTTTTTTT